AAGAAATCACAATGGAATCGTGGGAATGGTTATGGGGAAATTCTATAAAAATTTCAACATGTAATAACCTAAAAGAAAACTACTTTAAAATGATGTATAGATGGTATATGACACCGAAAAAAATTGCAAATATGAATGATCATATGTCTAGTAAATATTGGAAATGTAAAAAACAGGAGGGGTCGTTTTACCATATGTGGTGGACCTGTGAGAAAGCAAATAATTTCTGGACGGAGGTCCACAGTGAAATGCAATGTATTTTAAAATGTAATTTTAAAAAAGAACCTGAGATAATGTTGTTAGGCTTGAAAATGGAAGAACATGTAACCAAAAGAACGCTGTTTTGGTATTTGATTACCACGGCGAGAATGACATATGCACAATTTTGGAAACAAGACAAAATACCAGAAAAATGGGACTGGATTAAAAAAGTCGTATTTATGGCTGAAATTGGCAAGATCACAAGAAAACTAAACGACAAAGAAGACGAAAGTTTCTACGAGGACTGGAGAGATTTTAAACAATATTTAGAGATAAATTGGGACATAAGAAATAATCTGTTGTGTTTTGAGGAATATTAGAAATGAAAATCTATAGTTATAAGGAATGAGGTTGCCTATTGGTAGGATATAAGGTATAGAGTAAACAATAAAAGATAGAATAAAGTGATAAATGAAAATGTTAAGAGAGAAAATGTTAAGATAACAATAAATGACTGGATGTAAGCATTGCGGGAAGCCAAGCAAGGGGGTGGGCAAGGAGTTGTAACGGAAAATCAGGGATATTTGTAAAGTATTATAAAGATAAAATGGTTTGTGAAGAATTATATTATCCCGATAATAAAAATTGTTTTAACAAGAAAAAAAAAAAAGTAGAGGTGGTTTGCCATTGCCTTCCTCTGCAAAGTCTTCCTTGGTGGTCTCTCATCCAAGAGATCAGGCTATACTATACCATTCACATCTCTTGGTGTATTAGCTCACAATTTTATATTTTCTTATTTTAAAGGTTTCGTTAGAGAGGCCTTTATGCCTTAGGAGAGCAAACTGCTGGTAGAAGAATGGACAAAAGGGGAAAACATGAGAATTGGCAGGGAAGGTGAAATCTCATTTCCCCTTCTTTTGCTCCATCTCTGCTTGCCTGCACACCTTTAATCTGCATTTGTCTTTCCCACCGGTGTCCCAGTCTTTTGACTCTGTCTTCAAAAAAGCTGTCTACATTTGGTGTCGTTTTCACACCTCGAGTGCTAGCATACTTTTGCACGTCCACATATGTTTATTGACCTTTCGGGGCGGCTCCACTGTCATTGCACATCTGCACTGCTTTAAAAGAATCTTCCCCAGACAACATTCAAACATAGAGAAAGATGGCATCACAGCCGCAGGAAACTAATTTAAAAATGCAAATGCAGATTTGACCCTCCCCCTCTGCTCTGGTTGTTTCCTCTCACATACATGCTCACTCTTCTCTGTCCCTCTCCTCCTAGTCATCCACAGGCCTGATCTTTCTTCCTACCTATCCCTTCATCCAATTACCAACTTTCCTTCATTTTACTACGTCATACCTGCTTGTTTATGGTGCAGCCTCGTTTGGAATACTGTGTACAGTTCTGGTCCCCGTATCTCCTAAAAGACATTGCAGAACTGGAAAAAGTACAGAGGAGGGCAACCAAGATGATTAGGGGGCTGGAACACCTTACCCATGAGGAAAGGCTGAAGACTTTTCCGTTTAGATAAGAGGGGACATGAAAGTGATTTATAAAATTATATATGGGATGGGGAGCGTTGATAAAGAGAAATTTTTCTCCCTCTCCCAAAATACTAGAACTTGAGGGCATCTAAAGAAACTGATGGGCAGTAGGTTCAGGACTGACAAAAGGAAATACTACTCTACACGGAGAGTGATTAAAATGTGGACTTATCTGTCAGAGGATGTAGTGATGGCCACCGAAATAAAAAGCTTTAAAAGGGGATTGGATAGATTCATGGAGGATAAGTCTGTCGATGGCTGCTAGCCATGTTGACTGAGGGGAACCTCCACATTCAGTGGCACTAAGCCTCTGAATCCCAGAGCCAGGAGGCAACCTCAGGGGAAGGCCTCGGCCTCTATGCCCTGTTGTTGGCTGTCCAGAGGAACCCGTTGGCCACTGTGTGAAACAGAATGCTGGACTAGATAGACCTTTGGTCTGATCCAGCAGGGCTCTTCTTGGGTTCTTATTATGACTAAGCAAGCACTTCCTGCAGGGTGAACAGTAAGTGCAAGCTGCAAGCATGGGCAGACATTCAGGAGCCCTGTTATTATGTGAAGTCAGAATGTGACATGATGTCTTTGCCAACACTCAAAGTAATGACTTCACAAACATGGCTTGAAATAACATACCTAAGGCTCTGCAGCACAGGGACCACTCATAGGGAGAATGGAAGCGCACTATGGAGGAAAAACTATGGACCACTTTTAATCCAAAAGCTGGTCTGTCTTATGTTCTGAAATGTAAGCAGTGATCTGTGTCTTTTGAAGTTGAACAGCGTTCACTATACATTAATGGGAACAAGTTGGACTTCATCCATCAGTAGCCAAAAGTGGCACAGTTGAGAGCTTTGAAGTGATAGAAGTTCCATGGGAAAGGATTTACTTTGGATGGTTAAAATGAAGGTAAATATGGAGAACTAGAAAACCCCAGACTAGAAAGGGTTCAGTACACATACCAGAGACTCAGTTATCATCACTGATCCTTCCCTATCATCAAACTTACAGGCCACTATGTTGTCCAGTGCATTTCTGACCCAGTCAAAGTGACGAGAACTAAAACTGCAAAATATTGTGGCCAGTTTATATACCAGAAATGGGGCTATTTCGTGAGGTGCTGTCCATCCCAGGAAAGTGCCTTCAAAATGTTGGTTTTGATACAATGAGGAACTTTTGCAGAGGGTCCTCTATGGAAGGGGTAGTCTTAGTGATTCCAACATCCTGGGCAAAAATATACGATGGGGCTGAAGAATCATTGCCACTTCTCACCAAGCCCCCAGCTGCACCTATCCCACTGAGGTCCAAGCAAGGACCCTCGTTCCACATGAGGTGGGTGGAGCCACTGCCACCTCTGGAAGCCATCTGCCCAAGCCCTGGGTGGGGCAGAGATGAGCAGCCACAGCTGCCAAGCCAGCTGCCTCCCTCCATCAGGATATGTGGGGCCACTGTCAGTCAACCCCACCTCACATGAAGCCCAGAGCAGCTGCCCCTGTTGCCTAAAACCACCCCTGCTCAATGGCAAAATGTACTTATGAAGTACCTAATACTAGTTAGGGCATAGTTCATTCCTTGGGTGCAAAGAAACCCTTGGGAGGGCCAATCAAACACTGATATAACTTAAGAGAAAGTTGTCAGGATGATGGAGGCTTTATACTAGGACACCCTAATAGACAGCCAAGACCTTTTCTCAGTTGAAGAACCCATGGGAACAATTCTAGTACCCTTGTGACGGAAATACAGAGCTGTCAGCACTTTGGATGTCATGAAGAACATTACACTGAGTCACAATTGACTCATGGCAACCCCACCACGGGGTGTTCCAGGCAAGACACAAGCAGAAGTGGTTTGCCATTGCCTTCCTCTGCATCGTAACCCCAGTCTTCCTTGGAGGTCTCCCTTCTAAGTACTAACTATGGCCAAACCTGCTTAGCTTCCAAGCCTTGATGAGTTTGGGTGAAACTGGGCTATTTAGGCTAATTACCTTGTGAAGAATGCTTTGCTTGCCCTTCTGCATGCTTCTCATGAGCAGAACTGAGAATTGTACCCCAGTGTCATTAGATCTTTGGTCCTATGGCAGATTTTCTATAACAAAATTAATTAAACCAGACTGTGCTTATATACTATGCACAATTGGCCCATCTTGTCTATGCAGCATGCATAAATAGAAGTTTCTCTATTCAGTTCTCTAGCAGGAATCTCTTTGGGCACAAGACTCAAGACCCTCTAGAGGCATGACCAAAGGGGCACTGCATCTTGTTGGCAAGGAACGGAAACTGGAATCCAAAGATGATACCAAGAAGCTGGTTGTACACTGGATGGAGGGCCTGCTAACACCTGAGGCCATATATTCTGCAAGCAGCCCAAATGTGTCTGCTTGAAAATGTGCTCATGTGTATAATATGTGCAAATTTAAACTATGCAAAACAAGCATCGGGTTCAATGAATGGTGAACATGTAGCTGTGGAAGAGTTGAATGATAAAATTATGTAGGTGGTAGACTATATTTATTTGATTTTTGAAGAGTTTATAAGCAAGACTGCAGGAAGGCAGAGAAAATCACACATAACCATTGTAGCTCCTGTTGAAAAAAGTAATCGTTAAGCATTCAATGTAAGGAGTTGTAAAGAGGTACATGACCTATTGTTTAAAAATGCTTCAAGTGCCACAAGTATTTCTTATTTACATAAAGCATAAAACAAACCTTTAACCCTTATTAAAGTTAACAAATTCTGTTTCCCTTGGCACCAGGAGCAGAAGAGCCTTTGCATTAAAGATACTTTACATCAATAGAATGCACTGATAGGATTCAAACCTGGACTGTGTCTCTGTGTGTGTTTTAATTATCAATGTTTATATTGTTTTTTCAGTTACAGAATTTTCAAAGTGATGAGGGGCATTCACAGTGCAAACTCTCTTGCCCCACGTTCTTATAGTATGAAGTGCTACACTGCTGAATTCTAGCAGTTATCCTATAAGTTATAAAATATAGTGCCTTTATATATAAAGGAAGCCTTTAAAACCTTATCTAGCATCAAGGCCTGAAACCACCAAGTCTTGCTTCCTCTTCAAGC